GTTCAATGATTGTGAAGAAAAAACAACAAATTCAATTGCAAAACATCTTAAATTTATAAAAATACCCCTACTTGTTCCTTACGTAATCATTCTGTCTATCCTGGGTATGACGATAAACTACATCCGCGTCCTGGGTAAGACGATTAACTACGTCCGCGTCCTGGGTAAGACGATTAACTACGTCCGACAGCAAGGCCTCTGATCAGGAGGTTTTGAGAAGCGTGGAACCACCTCTTAATTTCTGGTTTTCCTAGGTTCACCCTGACTCGGGGTGGTAGCATCTGCTGGGGTCCCAGCTATGGGCAAACGGTTAACTCCTAAACTGGGGTCAAAATACTATGAAAGTGTAAAAATAGGGTTTAATACCAAAAATACCTTTTTGTAAAAATTATTACCAGAAATACATTATTAGCAGCAATACATTTTCGAAAAAAATATTACCAGCTATACATTTTTTGAAAAAATATTAGCAGCAATAGATTTTTGAAGAAAAAAAAATATTACCAGCAATACATTTTTGGAAAAAAATATTACCAGCAATAAAAAATTTTGTCAGCATTAAATAACCCACTGAGTTTGATATGCCGTAAAACAAAATAAAACAAAAACAAATTTAATCATTCTGTCGGATTTATTCCATATTTTAACTCATATATATGTGTGTGTGTGTGTGTATGAGTGCGCGTTGGCTTCTGTCAAACTGTTACTAGCGTCTGTTTCACGTCAAGTTCTTTAAAGAAAAGCGGACGAGAGGAACTTAGTCAAAAGAATATACTCCCATTTTGGGACGTTCTTATCTAGTAACAATCAGTGCTGGATTTACCATTGTGCTTAGGTGTGATTAAGCACAGGGTCCTGTTGGCCAGGGTGGGGACATCTTCCTTCCATGTCTATATAGGCATGCCGGCCTACTTCCTTCAGGGCCCAAGTAAGGAGCCTCATAACTTAACTAGCGTAGGGCTTCATTTGTCCTAAATCCGGCGTTGGTAACAATACATTTACTACTTTGATATAAATAAGATGCATTTAGAGAGCAAGAATTAATCGAAAGAAGTTTTATCAAATTCCACCGACAATTTTTGTTTATACAAATTTTTATTATACCTTTCCAATTTCCGAATGAGGTATTGTACATCGGGACTAAAGTTGTTAATAAATTGTTCAAAGTTCATGTTTTTTCTTCTTATATTCAAGTACTTTCGACTTTCACAGTCATTATCAAGAACGTGTGCTATCTGTATGGTAATTAAATTAGTTCTGGCGTTTTTAGATTGCTAGATTTTAGATTAGAGTTGGAATCAGTTCAAAGCGACGTCATTTGTAACGGTTAAACAGAAGATCAATGTATCAAATATTTGTGCATGCTTTCTTTTTATTTTCGATCTCTTATGAGGAAAGATATGTTATTTAATCTTGGTTGTTTCTTTTGTATTATAATGGCTTCTAGAATTTTGAGGCTTTCTTTGTGTCTTTTTTTATTTTGGTGTCATCCATTAACATTTGTCTTATGCCAATAGTAATTTGGTTGTTTGTATTGTGCTGATTAATATGTGCCCGAATTGCACTAAATTTCAACAAGAAAAAAGTCAACCTACAGAAGAGTGTATGTGTGGCCAGTGTAAGAATTTAATGTTGTTTGATTATTATTATTATTATTATTATTATTATTATTATTATTATTATTATTATTCCCTTTGGTTTCTGGTGTGTACTCATTTCTTTCCAAATCGCGACCTAAGGTCAGAAAAGGCATCATGACATTTTCCACTGAGCAGTTTTGAAAAAAATCGCACATATTTTACATAGATAAAGCCCTTCCTGAGGTGTGTGCTGTACTTGTGAGTACAATTTTTTGTATTTCTTTAAGGAATGGGCTACCAGGGATTCCTTCAATGAGTCTATCGGAATCTCTTCCAATCAATCCGAGGGCTCCAACTACAACTGGAATTGTTAATGTCTTCATGCACCACATTTTTTAGATTTTGATTGTTTTTTGAAGATCTACATAAATACATTGCAGCCTGCAGGGACTGCCATGTTAATATGGAGTCACAATTTGTCTGAGGTCTCTAATTACGATTTCAGGGCGATTAACTTTGATTGTTTTGTCTGTGTGTATTGTAAAGTCCCATAAAATTGTTACAGGTCCTATCTCCGTAACCGGATCTGGGTGGTGTTCATACCAATTTCTTGCAGTGTCTTTTCCGTAAGTGTTACGGATATTCTAGTGTAGATATTGACCCACTCTGTCGTGCCGCTTTTTATATTCAGTGGCTGCCAATACCGCGCAACCTGATACAAGATGGTTAATTGTTTCTGGATATTTTGGACTAACACAATTTTTCCGTATGTGTGCTTGGTAATTTCTAACTACCAAGCACTGGTCCTGTGCAGCAAGAATAAAACCTCCAGTTTCAGCTTTTAAAACTGCACTATTATTATTATTATTATTATTATTATTATTATTATTATAAATGCAATCTCCCAATGGACATGATAATTCATAAACAGCATTATTTTTATATAGGCTGAATTTAGAGGTGGTGAATTATTGGTAATAATTAGATTAGGCATTTTGATTTTTTTCATAGTAAATGATAAATGTAAGGTTTTGTTAGGATCGTTAAGTGTTATATAACAGCGAATTATTTCTTTAATGTTTTTTTTCATACTGTTTATAATTAGAAGGCATCTGATTACAATAAAATAATTTAATCGAGTCTTTATTTTTGTTTATATAAAGTTGGTTGCTTATATTATTTTGTCTAAATTTCTTTAAAGCCAATCTTATTTCTTCATCAACAATATTGTTGATTAGTGTTTATTTTATGTTGGTTAATTCTTTATAATATGTGTCCGAAGAAGAAATCATTTTCACACGGTTATTTTTATATCTATTTTATATCTGTGAGGACATTCACTTTTATAATTAGGCACACATAGATTTTTACTTGTGTGTGTTTTTATATATTGAAGCGATAAAATCATTATTAGCATCTAATTAAACGTCAAGGAAAGGTATTCTATTTTTAATGTTGAGTTCATAAGTGCATGATACAGCTGAGAATTACGGAAAAGTATATCATCAGTAGTACACAATCACAGTTTCAAACTTGACATTTGTAAATAAAACAAAATGAAAATAACTCTTTAAAGTCAGGGGTCTATTTGACACTGTATTTATATTATGAACAGGACACCCACTTCTAAAATGATAAAATGACAAATGTCAGGTGTAAAGAAAATTCTAATGAAATTATTCCTCCCAGTCCGAATTCTCTTTGGGGTTTTTTTACGAGCGGGCCAGTTGACTTAAGTAGTACTGTCATGGCAATCTTCTTCTTTATGTGGCGTGTCCCTTCAGAACGTAAGTGATCATGGCTCTCCACTTCTCCCTATACCCTGTCACTCTCAATAAGTTTCGTCCCTCTGCCACCTCTCCCAGACCACATTCTGTTATCCACTTGCTTAAGCCCGCCAGGTTATGTAATGCGTTGCTTTCCCTTGTCTCTCTTTCCCTCTATTCGACCTGTGAGTATCAGAGTCTCCAGGCCCTCCTTTCTCATCACGTGTTCCAGAAATTTCATCTGAGTCTTCTTGATGTTATGTATAAGCTTCCACCTTGGTTGCATCTTCTCCAAAACCTCATCATTGCTCACACGCTCGGTCCATGATAACCATGTCTCCGTTGCCTCGAGTATCTTCTTCATCTTTGAGGAGACCGTCCAACATTCTCTGCCGTAAAGGAGGACAGACGTCACTAGCAGCTCAGTACTCTTTGTTACCAAAGAAATCTTCCTATCTCGCAGTACTCTGCCCAGCTTTTGGAAGGAGTCTTTGACCATCCCAATATGTCTTCGGATCTCAACTCAAAACACACTATTTAAACTTCCGCACTTGTTTGATTTTAGTGTCCCCGACCTGTAAATCGCATTTCGGGATCATCCTTTTACTGACGGCCATGCATTCTGTCTTCTTGTAGTTTATGTTTAGTTCCCCTCTTCTCACCCTCCTTCGCTACCATCTGTAGGAGGTTTTGTAATTTCTTTTCCGTGTCTGTTATCAGTACTGTGTCATCTGCGTATCTTATGTTGTTAAGATTGTGGCCGCCAATGCTGAATCCCGGTAGGTTATCCAATTCTCCCAGAATTGCCTCGCTGTATAAGTCTGGCGAGAAGACACATCCTTGCCTTACGCCCTTTTCTATTTTTGTATATCCGCTGAACTCATTCTCTATGAGCATGCATGCCATTTGCTGCCAGTATAGGTTCTTGATTATTCTTTATATCTTTCCCAAATATATCAATGTTGCTGAGCAGTTCCAACACATCCTTGTGGCGTACTTTGTTGAACGCTTTGCGTAGTCTATAAAACATAGGTACACGTCCTTCTGCATTTGTATCTGTCTTTCTGATAACATTCTGAGCATGAATATTGTGTTTCTTGTTCCGGTGTCTTTATCGAACCCGCACTGTTCTTGTCCTATCTCTGGCCTGATTCTGCTGCGCGCTCTATTCATAGCAATACATGATTAATAATATTAAAAAAAAGAAAGCTGTGAAGAGTCATCATCGTCTACATACTGAAGGGAAATGGCTATAAAAGAATCAAGATAAATCAAAGAGATACAAACGAGTTCAAACTAATTTCTTTTTGGTTTTCATTAACACATACATTTTTATCCCTAGCACTTTATCATTCTATTTTTCTTCATTTTTTCTTTCTTTTTACTTTCATTTCTGTTTGCTTGTTTCTTTTTCTTTTCTTTTTTTCTTTTTTTCACTTTCTCTCATTTTGCTACTTCTTGTTTTCTTTCTGTTTCTTTTTTACTTTCTCCCGTTTTTTCTTTTGAGCTTTTCACTTATTTTTGTTTTCTCTCTTTCTTTTCTCCCTTCCTTTTCTTTCTCATTCACTTTTTACTTTTTCTTTCTTTCTTTCTTTTTGCTACTTCTCTTCTACCTTCTGTTTCATTTTTACTTCCTTTCGGTTTTTCTTTTGAGCTTTTCATCTATTTATTTTTCTTTCTTCCTTTCTTTTCCCCCTTCTTTTTCTTTCTCATTCCATTTTTACTTGCACTTTATTACTTTCTTTCTCTCTTTCTTCCTTTCTCTCATCTTGCTACTTCTTTCTTTCTGTTTCTTTTTCACTTTCTTCCGTTTTTTTTTTCTTTTGGGCTTTTCATCTATTTATTTTCTTTCTCTCTTCCTTTCCCCCCTTTCTTTTCTTTGTCATTCCCTTTTTATTTGCTCTTTCTTTCTTTCTTTCTTTCTTTCTTTCTTTCTTTTTTACTTTCTCCCGTGTTTTCTTTTAAGCTTTTGATCTATAAATTTTTCTCTCTTCTTTCTTTTGTCCTCCCTTTTCTTTCTTATTCCCTCTTTACTTGTTCTTTCTTTATTTATTTATTTATTTTTCTCATCTTGCCACTTCTTTTTTATTTGTTTCTTTCTGTTTCTTTCTTTCTTTCTTTCTTTCTTTTTTACTTTCTCCCGTGTTTTCTTTTAAGCTTTTGATCTATAAATTTTTCTCTCTTCTTTCTTTTGTCCTCCCTTTTCTTTCTTATTCCCTCTTTACTTGTTCTTTCTTTATTTATTTATTTATTTTTCTCATCTTGCCACTTCTTTTTTATTTGTTTCTTTCTGTTTCTTTTGTAATTCCGTTTTTCTCTTTTGAGCTTTTCATCTATTTTCTTTTTTCCCACATCATTTACTTTCTCATTCCCTTTTTGCTTTTTCTTTCTCTTTTTTTCTTTGTTTTATTTATTTATTATTCTCTTTTGAGATTTTCATTTATTTATTTTTCGTTCTTCCTTTCTTTTCCTCCTTTCATTCACTTTTTACTTGTTCTTTTTTCTTCCTTTCTTTCTTTCTTTCTTTCTTTCTTTCTTTCTTTCTTTCTTTCTTTCATCTTGCTACTTCTTTCTTTATTTCTTCCTTTTTCATGCCCCATTAATTTACATCAATTACTTTCTCTCAATACCTTCTTATGCAGTGTAGTTCTTTTCTGTTTTTGACATATCACACTTTTTCTGTCTCCTGATTTATCAGAACATTCCATACCCTTTTTAAAACTCTCCTTCCTTCCTTCCTTTCTTCCTTCCTTCCTTCCTTCCTTCGCAGTGTCAATGAACTGTCGTGGGAATAACAGTTAAAATTAACGACTATTCTCATACTTCGTTTATTTTACAAGTACATTAACGCATTCTAACCAATCAACATTAGAACAATTTGGAATACGCCTCATTCTTTATTAGGCCGTTCTTTCTCATTATTTCTCGTCATTTCTTCTTTTCTGGTAAATATTCTCCCTTATCGGAATTCAGTCAGTGCTTCTCCCTCAACTTTCCCGTTTCTTCTTTGTTTTAAGAATGTTTTCTCTTTTTTTTTTTAAAAAAAATTTATTCTTCTCCCTCCTTGTATCTTTTCCGGTTTTAAATTGTTCATATTTTATATTTTCTTGCATAGCTGTCAGAAGACTACTCTCACTCTTACTCTTACTCTGATGATATTATCTGCCACTTCTGTTCACCTGAGGGCCAAGATAGGTATCTCAAATGGTCAGCAGTTGTGTGGAATCAAGTGTGCTCGATATAGTGGGTTGGACTTGTAGTCGTTATGAGTGACACATAGTGAAAGACTGGAGTCACGGTTCAAGGAACCAGAAGTTTTTGTTGCAGTTTTCTTCTTGCTTTATATGCCACAACTTTTCAGGTAGTGGGCGATCATGACTCTCCATAAATTCTTATCTTTCGTTGCTTTAAGTAACTTAAGTAACTCATTATATGTCCAAGACATTTCAGCTGTCTTTTTTTTATTATTAGGACCAGTTCAGTTGTAGTTCATATCCTCCTTAAAACTTCATTATTTCTCGCATGTTCTGTCTATGGTATTCTCTAGCATTCGTCGGTAGAACCACATCTCTGTTGCTTCAAGTCTATTCTTAATCTGCGATAAGATTATCCAGCATCCACTGCCATATAGGGGATTAGATATTACACAGCATTTCAGCAAACTTTTTCCTTGTTCCTAAGCACATTTTCCAATGTCTTAATATTCTGTTTAGTTTCACTATTCCTCTGCACATTCAGGTTTCGGTATTACATGTTCTATAGTTTGTGATAGTATTGAATTCAAATACATTATCGAGAAAAAGCGATGCACCGTAATAATCTCTGTTTCTCCTATAAAGGGAGACTCAGGTTTGAACCCTGCCGAAAGTACTCGCTTAAAAAGGATACTTGCTGTAAATATAACTTAAAAATCTACCTATTTCTAATGGCTGGTCTCTTTTATTCGATCGATCGTCTGTTGCATTTGTTACAAACAGAATTAAAATAATGCATTCTATATTGATTGGCAATTATCTAAGTCTTGTTTCTTAGTTTTCGCCTTTAGCTGCGTTCGAATCCATGTATAGTTGAAAATTGTGTTTATTTATAAAAACAATGACAAGTTGATTTATTTATTTTATGATGCATTATTATATTATTGCGTTAGCCAGATCGAACAATGTCGTTTTTTAGAAGGTTGACATACAGATAGATCTGTGAAAAATGGCTGGGGATGAAATAACACGTTTTAAAAACGCAGGTATAATTCATCTTCAACCGTCATTGATTGATCTATGGTTTATCAACTTTTTGCTGGTTATTTGAAGCCAGAAAATATTTGTAGATTGTAATGTTTTCGGAGATAATAATAGTTTAATGATATAAGTCTTACTAATTAACCCATAGCTGGAGGGAGAAGAGGAGGATTCATAACTTTCCGAAGGGTATTTGCGCATGTGAATAAATGAACCCAACTGGAATTGGAACCCGAATCTCCGGTTAACAATCCCAAGTCATTATCCATTGCGCCACTCGCACTTCCAAGCTTACAGCACATGCCATTCATAAGTGGTCACCAATCCAGGTACGGACCAGGCTCGACGTTGCTTAACTTCGGTGATCGTACGCGAACTGGTGTTTCAACGTGTTGTGGTCATAAGCCTCTACTGCCATTGAAATAAGAAAAACGTGACTTATAGAAAAATATCTTTAGGGCACTTCCACCTGGTGTAACAGTGGTTAGCAAGCTAGATCGATTATGACTGAGCAGTGAGTTCGATCCTTACTGGGGGCCTAGTACTTTTGGCTTTGTGCCACAACTAATTTTTGCTTAGTAAATCACCATAGAAAAATATCTGTCGACCAAGCGGGAAACTCCTTATTTTTAAAACAAGAAACGATGTTAGTCTATAAGAATTGGTGAGGGAAAATGTATATTCTGCTCCACAGTTCTTAGGTAACATTAGTAAAACCGGTTGACTGAACTAACACCGAAATAAAACAACATGCAGAGAATTGTGCAATGCAATGTTTATATACAAACGCACAAATATAAGAGAGAGAGAGAGAGAGAGAGCGGTATTAAGAGGTATTAAAGACTAAGTTGCCAATGTTGCCACGTAAGTTAACGCACATTAGGGATAATAAATAAGTAGAAATGCTAACTAAAAAAAGAAAAAAAAAGCCCTTAAGACGAATGCCGACGGTATTTGAGCAGAGACAGCTAGGTGAATTCGTCACCTCTCACCGAGAGAGATTGCGACAGGCCCGACCGTCTGGAAGGCCTGTTGTTCTGGAACCGAGTCTGCTGTTTTTATTTTCCCACTCGCACGCGGGTTTCACGTGACGCGACACATAAAGACAGATAATTATTTCTGTGCCCCTTCATAGCGAACAATAAAGGCGGCATTATAAAATCAGCCTCGAGTGGATATGAATCGGTCAGCTAAAATATGTAGCGTTCCTCTTTCTTTCTCCCTTCAGTCTTAAAGCAGTCTTCCATTGGTTAGATGCTATGGTGAAAAGATAGTCTTTCATTGACCCTCTCCACTGATTAGATGCTGCAAGGAAAGAACAGTTTTCCGTATTATCTTTACATCGGACACTTTATATTGCAACATTTATCTTTATGCTTTCGGGGAACTGGGTATAGTTCATGCTTATGTATTCACTTCTTTCTTTCTTTCATCTTGTTACTTCTTTCTTTCTTTCTTTGTTTACTTTATCCCGTTTTTTCTTTTGAGCTTTTCATTTATTTATTTTTCGTTCTTCTTTTCTTCCCCCCCCCGCCTTCGTTTTTTCATTCACTTTTTACTTGCTCTTTTTTTTCTTCCTTTCCGTCTTTCTTTCTTTATTACTTTCTTTCTTTCTTTCATCTTGCGACTACGTCTTTCTTTCTTTCTTTCTTTCTTTTTCATGCCCCATTAATTTACATCAATTACTTTCTCTCAATACCTTCTTATGCAGTGTAGTTCTTTTCTGTTTTTGACATATCACACTTTTTCTGTCTCCTGATTTATCAGAACATTCCATACCCTTTTTAAAACTCTCCTTCCTTCTGTTGATGCTTATTTATTCACTTATTTTTATTAAATTGTGACAGCGGTAGTCGGCCGCTTTTAAAGCAGTAATGAAGAAGAGACTTGAAGCAACAGAAATGTGGTTTTACAGAACAATGCTGAGAATAACATGGACCGAACATGTGAGCAACGACGAAGTTTTAGGGCACATACTGAGAAAAGAGGGCTTGGAAAATTATATACTCCCATAACAGATTGAAGGCAAGAGACACAGAGGAAAACAACGACATTTAGCAAATCACTGATAGTACAGGGTTTAGAAGAGAAACAAAAAGACAAAATTTATTAAGAGCTACAAAAAAACAGGAAATTGTGTAGAGCCATGAAAGGACATGTCTCATAAGGTATTGCAAGAATGTATATATGTCGAATAATGCTGTTCCCATGAAGAGGAAACAAATACCATTGACATATGGACAGAAAAGGGAAACTTTACAGAGTTTAATTGAACAGATATACAACATTGGCGAAAAAAAAAAAATATTACTGCCATATTTGGTCTAGTGTTCCTAGTATATATCTTGAGATCCTCGACAAAATTCAAAGAATTGTCTGTAATGTTATCGGTCCTGACCTGGCATCATGAATTCTGTGGAAATTGTAGTGAACCTTGACCGCCCACGTCCTGAAAGGAGACGACAGAAAGAGGAAGAAGTTGAAGAATATTAATAAAAATGGCATAAAATGAGATATGACATGTGTTTGTAAAACGGATAAAGCCAGCATATTTTACGACCAGTAAAATTATGACACGAAGTCTATTAGTTTTTATCCTCCAAGCAGGAACCCTTTAAAAATGATCTGAAATATTTCATCATTTTATGAGATCCTTTTTAAAAAAATCGTATTTTGGCGGACGTGCGCTGACTTTGCAATCGGCTGCGTCTCTCGATGTTTCCTATGTTAACTAGAACCAGTGCTTTCCCGATATCGAGGATTACATTTCGGCTTTCTGATACAAGTAAAATTCTTTGCCAGACGTTAGAGAATATAAGCACTTTTGCATGATTCTTCTAGTAGCAAAGTGCTGTTTTGGTGTGCACGAACTGGATAATCCATTATAATCAAACGTTCATGCACAATTTGGATTGAATAAAAGACCTTATTATATATTGACTTACCTTTATATCCAACTACTTTATTGACAAGTTGCCTAATCCGATACCCGGCTCAACTGACACATATCCTGGAAGAGAGATAGGTATAATGTTAATTCCACTAAATACTATTTTAATGTTCTCTTCATGAGAAAACGAAACGACTTCTAATATTTCTGATGCTCCAACGATTCTTAAGCGTTTTTTAACCATTTTTTTAAAATTCGCGCCATTTTGAGATTTCAAAATCTTTTTCGTACCCCATGATTTTAATCTTAAGATTTAATCTTATATTAAATATCAATTGCATTTTTTTTCATTAAAATTAGCAAATAAATGAATTTATTTACACTATTTACATCCTTCGGGCTGTTGTCTTCATCTTTTTTTTGCCATATTCACGACGTTTCGGCCGTTGTACACTCCGGCTTTCTTCAGGTGATTGAAATTTCGAACTGAACCCTTTATATCGTCCACCGGAGTAGATTGTTTTAGTTCCACGTGCCATACCTCTTCCCGATGTCTCAGTTATAGAGTAAATAGTGTAAACGTACAAAAATATTAATATTTATTAAAAGCGTATCAAGATATTACGAATAAAACCGTTCAACGCTGCTGTTGTTTCTTCTAAATTTGCTTTAAAATGGGTTTTAGGTTCCCAGTTTTCTTCTTATGCTAAATAGTTAGGTACTCGTCTCTTCGGCAAGATGATCAAATTTCAAATTTAAATATGTTTGTCAATTTAAAATACATTTATTAAAAAATGTATTCACTTTAAAGACAAGGAATAATAATTAAAAAAAAAAAATGACTTAAAAAGGCTGCACATTTTGGTTTATACTCTTTTCCTGTTATCCATGGGATGTTGCCAGACAGACGAGGAAAGTAGCCTTCGCGATGCAGATATCCATTTAAAAACAGAGTCGATCGTAGTCGGAATCATTGAGTGAATGAAAACGACCCTTAGCTGCATATTATGTGCTTCGCCAGGGCTACATACAGTTTTGAATTCATAGTTTTCCACTCAAGGCTATAAATCAAAGTCCTGTCCTACTATTTGCCTATAGCTGAGGAGAGAAGAGTTTGGTCAGCACTTAAGTCAATGTAATGAACTCGACTGGAATTCGATCCCCCAATCTGTGCCGCAATCCATTACTTTACCGTGCTGCCATTTCCATTTCATCCTAATTCTGTGTAGGTTTCCGTGTGCGCATGTACATTTTGATTCAATGACAAAACCAAAAACAATTCTAAAATTTAAAAAACAAAAATCATCAAAAATTAATTCAATTTATTACCGAATAATTTTCGAAAGTTTCAATTAAATTTCATAATTATCTAATTTTTTAGGGTTTAAAAAATGATTTTTTTTTTTTTTTGTTCTTGTCTGCATTTTTTATTGTTCAGGTTAAGATAGGGGTTGTCCAGACTAAGTAAAATGGGAATGTATTATTCCACTGTTTTATTTCAAACTCAGTAAAATTATATTTATGTGTGTGTGCGCGTCTACATTAAATAGCGCAAACACATGTAAGTCACGCATGCGCAGACATATGCATCTACATTACATACACGCAGACAGTGTGTGATAGACAAATAAACAGTTCTTCCTTTAAGATGTATATTGGAATCTCCATTCGAACAAACCCTTGCTGGTTTGTGGCATAAAGTGGGGTGTATATCAAGCAATAAAACGAAAAAAAGACTTTAACCTCCACAAAAAATCTACCTTGCGTACATGCACCCCAGGTTAAGAACCATTGTGATACACTTTGGTGACGAATGCGTAGTTTTGTTTAACGTATGAGAAGTAAATATTCGTTCTTGTTTTTTGTTTATTCAGACAGATATTATTGGATCCCCAGCCAGCTGCTTGACAGTATTTCGTACTTTTTTTTTTTTTAAACCAAAATATTCACAAAATACAAGGTCCAAGCGCCACTCAGTGTAAATGATTTTGTATATGGAAGTTGGAAGGGTAAAACGAGGTAAGTGTAGTTTATGAGGATACGTATAATCGGCAACGGTTGACTCTAGTCTAGACTTGAAGAATTTATGATAGTATCCAGGGAAACATCTTCTTGGTAATCTGTTCCATAAAGTAGTGATTCTTGGAAAGAAGCTTTTCAAATTGAACATTCTTCTTACCAATAGAATACGAAGGGAATGGGAATGATTCACACCTGTGTAGATGTCATGGCGGGTTTTTAGCTATAAATGTCAAAACTGGTGGATCTAGAGAATGTTGGTCGTCAAAGCATTTCCTACGGAAATAGCGATAAGATTGCTCCGCTGCGTCTGTGGGTAAGGGGTGGGGGCTGTAAGGTGGACAATAATTAATCGCCTACAAGACCGTGTAAACGCGTTTGAACTCTGTCGAGGCTGGAAAGGGACATTCCCTGATAAATGCACCAACAAGCGGCACAGGAAACTCTGGCTCGTCCGACGTATCTACTAGAAGAAAAGTACGTGCAATGTTCAACTCAGCAAAGTACTGTTTCGATGTTCTCTCAATGAAAGACTCAGAAACTGAATAAAACAGTTATTTCCTTTATGCAAATTCCTGATAGACTTTCTTTGGAGTTCAATGTAACGTCTATTCTTTTTCTCTTCTATTTTCGCTTAATATTCTCATTACTGACTTGGTCCTTAAAACTAGACAGATCGACTAGGAATTGCGACTGGGCACAATATACGGATGTATTGAATTATTCTATTATAATTTGATGCGTATTGAATAATTGTACTGTTATAGAGTCTAAAAAATGAGGAAATGTGCACAAAAGAAAAGAGTGGTTCGGCAATATTTTGGAGAGTGCGGGCCTGAAAACTATGCACTGTCTCGGAGGAGGGCCATTATATTAAATATATTATAAAATATCACGACCTCAGACCTCTCCATCCAAAATACTGCCTTGACCTTGAGGTTTAAAGAAAAACAAGAAACTTAATGCTATATTATTTAAACAATATTCCTTATTTTACTACAGGAATACCAGGATAACAACTAACAATCAACAAAAAATGCAAATTCCTTACTACAAATGAAATACAATTAGAAATGTCAAATTATTTAATGAGGTACTTGTTTCTGCTTATTGTTCAATAACTTCTTCACATCAGATGGAATATTTGTCGACGACAGAAGCAAAACATCATCTAGCTGGTCATTACCCTAGCTTGTTCTTGAACGACTTTTAGTATATTTCATTTTCGAAAAGAGTTGTTCACAGTCATATGTACTTCCAAATAATGATATCATCATTTTCGCATTATTCAATAGGCGTTTCTAGTTTCCGCTTGGCAAAACATTCCTTGTAGAAGTCAGTAGCGGATTCGAAATGAAATTTTGATTTAAAAAAACCCGTCGAATTATAAGTCGATTAATTCCAATCGATATTTTTCTGCCACTTACTCAAATTAATTAGATAATTTGTGTCCAGATGTTTCCGACCCCTGTTATAGACGATCATATTTCAAGCGACATCGCTTGCTCCAAGTAACGACATCTCACCAAGAAGACATGTTGCATTTCCGCTGGTTACTTACAAAAATAAACGTAGACATATATAAATAATCATCTAACCGTTTCGACGATGTCTGCAAGCAATAAATATTCACTGTTTAACGATAAAAAAAATTACAAGGAAATACAGTCTTTGGATATTCCAGAACTTTTTAGGGCGGAGTAGCGAAAAAGAATTACTTTCCTGTCATTTTTTTTCTCTCTCTCGGACTCGCTTTTCAGTGTTCTCCAGCAGACGCGGGGCTTTTATCAAAAGTTGGATCGGCGAAACTATTTCGAACTCGTTTCAAATCAGATTTCGCTTTCCTTTGCCACATCGGATTTCCGGTCGTTGATTTTTATCAACACTTTTTTTTCCTGTTCACACTCAGTCGATGCCAGTGAACGAGAGATTAAGATTAGAATTTTTATTTGTTTGTTTTGAGAGCGTGACAAACATAGCGGGGAACGGTGGCGGTTAGAGTTGAGGGGGTTAGAGATTACGGCTGTGGGTAGCAGGTGGGTAAAAGTAGAAATTAGTGAGAATAAAACCAAAGAAGAAAAAAAAATACGTAGTGAAGAAATAAAGTCAAATAGAGAGAAAATTTTAAAAAGAAAAAAAAAGGACGCAGGAGGTTGAGAAATTTGAAAAGAAAGAGGAGGAAATGTACACAAGAAAAGGGTAGGAAATCCGGGGAGGGAAAGATATGAAAATGTTTTAAAAAAGATGCAAGGAAGCTTAGCAGGAAGAGAGAAATTACAAGCAAATTAAGGAGTAAAAAATCATTAAAAAGGATATGAAGGGCAAGAATGGAAAGAAAGAAGAAGGAAAACTCATTTAGAGGGGGGATATTTCAGAAAGGAGAGGAATAGATGAAGGAGACAAAAACAAAAGAAGATAGAAAGGGAATAGTACGGAAGGGAGAAGGAAGAAGAGAACAAAAAACAATAGAAAAAATAGAATAGGAATGAGAGGAATAGGTGGAGGAGATAAAAAACAAAAGAACAGAGAGGGAATAGAGCAGAAAGGAGAGGAATAGGGGGAGGAGACAAAAATAAAAGACAGAGATTAAAAGAGTTCTTAAAAGACGAGGTATGATAAGGAAGAAGGCGAAAAAAAAAAGAAAACTAAGACGCAAAGGGAAGTTGCGAAATTATATAAAAGATCAAGAGATTGTAGAAGAGAAAGAAGAGATAAAACGGATGACAAATGTAGAGGATGAGGGAAATAAAGAAAAAAGAAAGATGAGAACTAAAGATGTATGTAGATAGAGGGGAGGAGACGCAGAAAGAAGGCATAGACAGAAGAAGGAGAGTATGATAAAAGGAGAGAAGAAACGACCGACTTGTAGTGGACCGTGGCTGTGATGTTGTTGAGTAGATGTAGAAGAAACACATGTGGGTTCAGATTTTCTTGCTAGCCGGTCCAACTACATGAGAAAGTTGGATTTAATTAAGTCCAAAGAAGAAGGCAAAGAAAAACAAACACAAGACCGATAAAATATGTATACAAATATATATATTAATAACAAGTTACATGGAAACAGTTACAAAGGACAAAGTGTGTGAATATTATATATATATATGTGTGTGTGTGTGTGTGTGTGTGTGTGTGTGTGTGTGTGTGTGTGTGTGTGTGTGTGTGTGTGTGTGTTGTGCTTAGCGTGTTCCCAGCACTTGGGAAACGCGATCTCTGTGAGCGTTCACATCTTCGAGGTATTACCTGAAAGCCCGAGGAAAAAGAGAGATTTACCTCCAGGTGTCGGCCCAAAGGCCTGAGGGAAAAAGAGGAAGAGGCGAATGGTCAGCGACTATTTATAGCCACGGAAGAGAGACCCCTGGTGAAAGGGTTAACGAACTAAAGGAGGAGTTAACTCCGACAGACTGAAAGCGATAAAGAGAGAGAAGAAATTAAACCGCGAAGAAAGAAAGAAAGAAAGAAAGAAAGAAAGAAAGAAAGAAAGAAAGAAAGAAAGAAAGAGGCTGGAATTTTGACAAGAGTTGTTATCATTCCAAATGTTTTTAGGAATATCGATGTTATCCTTTTTGTGGCTTTTGTTGCGATGTTTTTGCATAATGGGTTGCTTTGATCAGTATATCTGCCAGTAGTCTATAATTTTGAGATGAATCATTATCACTTCAACTTGTACGGAATACTGATGTTATCCATTTTATAACCTGTTTTGAGGTTTTATATAATGGGTTGATCTGATCAGTATATTTCCAACGATTGATTTATGTGACATTTTCTGATTTTTCTGTATCCTAAAGAAATCGGCTTCTTCCTATACGAAAGGTACAATTATACAAATCTGTTCAATATATCAGTTGAAACTTTCTAACAAAAATAAATAAATTTAAAACCCATATTCTCCTGACGTCATTTTACACTGTCGCTTTTTTTAATATATATATATATATATATATATATATATATATATATATATATATATATATATATATATATATATATATATATATATATATATATATATATATAAAAGGTCATATCATTTAAAAACACTGGTTCTCGTACGATCACAAAAGTTAAGCAACATTGAGCTCGGTCAATACCTAGATGGATGACCGCTTGGGAATACTAAATGCTGTAAGCTTGGATGTCCGGTGGAATGGCTCGGAATTGTAACCGAGTTCCAATTCCAACTGAATTTCGTTATATTAACTTACGTGCAAATACCCTTCGGATAAGGTATGAATACACTTCTTCTCCTCTCACCTATGGGTTAATTAGTAAGACTTGTATCAGTAAATTATTATTATCTCAAAAGATAAAATCTTATGATTTTTCAGATATTTTCTGACTTTAAATAACCAACAAAAAATTGATAAAGAGTAAACACAAATAAACACTCAATCAATCATGACCATTTTGCTTAAAGTTCATATTTTCTTGATTTCAAATGAAAACCTGGAAATCTAACGTATTTCAGCGAAATTTTCCCTTTCCGAAATTAATTTTTAAAATTATTTTTTTCTATATTTTAATAATAATTTTTAACATTTTAGTAATAATTATTTTTTTGCTATATTTAATAATAATTTTTAATAATATTTTAATTATTTTTTTCTATGATCTAATAATATTTTTTAATATTTTAATAATAATTAACTTTTTTTTCTATATTTTAATAATAATTATTTTTTCTATATTTTAATAATATTTTAATAATATAAAGAAAAAAAATAAAAAAAAAGAGGTGGGTAAGAAAAAAAAAGAAAAGAATTTTCATTACCGTAAAGCGTTAACATTGAAATACAAACACAATTAACAAAAAGTAAATTAACCGGTTTAACGATCTTTTTTCACTTATAGTTTAGATTTAGTTTAAGCTGACGCCAGGGGGATATGTATTAAAATTATGAGAGTTGTATACGGAATATTTTACAAAATCTTGTTGATAACCTACTTCCACTGAATGTCGTAAGCCGTGAAAGAAAATGATTATCTTGTATTTACTGAAGACTTAATCTTGAGAAAGGCTTGAGAATATAATGCAATTATTATCAGTTTCATTAATTGTCTCTAGAAGACAAAAAGGGCGCCCAGTTGAGAACTGTTACTTCGTGGAACAGAATCGTAGTAGGATGCTTTCCGGGCTACTACGATCTTAGCCTCTTCAAGTCTAGAGTTATCGTTTCCATATATCTGACCCCCTTTCTGTTTCTGCTCACACAACAACCGCCTTGAGTAACTCTCTACCTTGAGTGGAATTTGACCTTGAACTGGGTGAACATTAGTAAACCAAAAAAAAAAAAAAAATTCAAAAAGAAGACCATTAAAGTTGTAAGGAATTCGATACTTGTTGAGTGACTAACACTTAGACTTTGTATCAAAAGCAATGCTTAGTATCTACTACAATAACGAGCAGTGTAAATTTTCCGTAGATTACTAAGTCCGTAACTCACATCGCACTAAATCAAATTAAAAGAGTACCCAGTCAGTTAAGTGCCATACGTGAAAAACGCTTAGGCGATCATGTCTCTTTTGATTCATGACTGACTAGTCACTAGGCAGAGATTTTTCCGCAGTAGGTTGCCTTTCCTTTCTGCGGTAGACCGGTTGCCAAACAAGTCTATAGGACCAGGTCTGTCCTGCTATTCAACCCATAGCTTTTAAAGATGTATTCCCCAAGGGTATTTGTACGTAAGTGAATGTAACAAACCCGACTGGAATTCGAACTGGGCTCTCCGATTTGTCATTCCGAGTCAATATCTATAAACACAGATTCTAAAGAGTATACGCATATAATAAAACCTGCTATGTTTGTATGTTCGCAACTGCTACTGGCAAAATCACTACTATTGCTAATAGGGATGATGACGTTAACCGAGTAAATAATTTCAGGCATTCCTGTTTTTTTTTTTTTTTATGAATAACGGAAATGGTTTATATAAAAAAAAAAAAGGAAAAGAAATTAAAAATATTTAGTTTCTTTTCTAAAATAAATCATATCAGAAATTCAAATATCTCCGAGATTTTTTTTAACGGGTTAAGATGACTTTCTATCTGAATTCCTGGAAAGAGTAGTCATCATTATTTGTATGCACACAACTATCCTAATCGTTGTTGTTATTATCACAAAGTTTCAGATGTTGTGTTCCAACGTCGTCCTTCAATAGACATTATAAAAGAGTATATATTTACATAATATGTACAAATATATAACAATGAAGTGGGAGGAAGGAAAGAATATTACTCAGCGGTTAGTTTCCTTCTTTCTTTTTCGCTCCACAACTTTATTTTTGTTAAGCTTGCTGTTCCTTTTTTTAAAATATATATATATATATATATATATATATATATATATATACCAGTCGAATCCATTACATTCACTTAGGTGCTAATACCCTTGGGAAAGGTATGAATCTTCTTCTCCCCCCAGCTATGGGTCAATACCAGGACAGACTGGGTTCTATAGCCTTGAATGGCAACTTGTCTAGGAGAAGGGCAAATCTGAATTCAAAACCTACGGGGGGTGTTTGGGAACCTTGTGGCACGTAGTGCACCAGGTCTCTTTATTCGGCCTTTCAAAAAATGTGGTTAGTTCTGCACAAAGCCTTCACCACTATAATCAAATCATGTAGTGGAGTCTGATCTGTCGGTTCCTAGGAACTGAGCTACTTGACCCTCATATTTCGGGAGAGTCCCCCCTATATATATATATATATATATATATATATATATATATATATATATATATGCCACACAAAAAAGAGAATGTTTAACATCGAAAAACATAAGAAAAATCAATTCATTTTAATATGTGGAAATATCAACTCTTTGCCTGAAGAAGGTAGCGAGACCCGAAAAAAATGATGCAAAATAAAGCATTATATATATATATATATATATATATATATATATATATATACATACATACATACATACATACATACATACATACATACATACATAAACTTTTAAAATGTTCGCTTTTAAAGACATAATGCTATTAAAAATTATATAACAACTACATTTTTATTAGCATCTACATGTATGCATATATATATATATATTCATGAATGCAGTTTTGTTTTAACTCTTAATTTGTATCACTTTAGGTAATCACCAAGTTCACACATCTATATTTATTACTTTCAACGTTATTTTTAGTGGATACTCATATTTGAGTAGACGTTTCGTTTTTTAAACAGTGTTTATTTCGTCAATCCGGTTAACCTGCAAGGAATTTCGAGCTAAAACTTTTATTTAATCTACGTTCCGCTGACTATGTCTCGGAATATCTTCATCAGTTCTTATTTAGTTCATTACAGTTATTATTCGCACCGTTTCCAATGTGTCCAAGAACACATTGCCCGGTCCAGGGATTGAACTCAAAATTACTATGTTACCAAATTCACGAACCAACCGATTTAATTTGCTAGGCTATTGTTACTTTATTAAGAACGCCAAGGAAAAGTAAGTGGCTTTCTTGAGAATTTGCCATCATCGAAAGCGGTAGGTGTTCAATCTGTAGAAAAAGCCATAATTTCGAATACTGATTTTTAAGGCAGACAGGCGCCCTCACCTCGAAAGATGGACGTAACAAAATTTGTAACAAGCGAGTCTCTTGCGTTTATATGACACATACTAAGGTAAGCTTTGTCTAGCACAAAAAGGGAGGAAGATTATGTTGCGTCAAGCTTTCTTTTGGAAGCGTCTGTTTATCTTAAAATTCAGTATTTATTTTTATCAGTATTTAAGGTTTTTTAATATATATATATATATATATATATATATATATATATATATATATATATATATATATATATATATATATATATAGCCATATTCTGTTAGCAAACGTTGCCTTAATAAAACCCACTAATAATCCCCTTTCTTCCTCATTTTCATTTCACAACGCACAGATTGAATGCCGAAGAAAACTAAAACAAATTGAACGTAAAAACATTATTAAATATTTAAAATTCAGTGTTTAATCCATTTATGCACAACAGTTAGGCATTATCGGGGAACAGTCGACCAGATTGTTCATCAGTCGAACTCTCTGTCTTGAGCAGAGAGGAACCCGGATCAGGCTTTGCCGAAGGGCAAAGTTTCGTCCAGGGAGGTAGACAATCCCGGACCCGATTATGCGGGTTGTACGGGAATATTTTTGTCCGAGCCTACGGGCTCGGGGAACCCACGGTAAACTCGGCCTTGTGCCACATACATCTTTCGTGGGAGGGCTGTTAAATATTAGCATTTGGACATGATCTTAATCAGCTCTGAGTCCAAGCCTAATACATTTTTCTTCTATGTGCCGCATCCCTTCAGGATGTGAGCGATGATATCTCTCCACAACTTTCTATCTCTTGCAGCTCTTAGTAATGTCCTTTTACCATCTCTCCCACTGCCCGTTTTGCCATCCATTCAGATAAGCTCTTCGGTAAGGTGGCTCGAACTTGTATCTTTTACATTCATTATGCCCTGTGAATGTCAAATTTTCCAAGTCATCTTTCCTCATTAGGTATGAGATAAATTTCAGCTGCCTCTTTCTGATTCTGAATATAAGTGTCCTTTTTGCTGCCATTTTCCTTAAGACTTGCTAGTTGCTTACAAGCTCCGTCTATGGCATTCTCAGCATCCTTCTGTAGAACTGTATATCTGTTGTCTCAAAACCTCCAATCCCTCTGTGTAGAAATTGTCCAGCATTTACTACCATATAGGAAAACTGATATTACATAGCGATTCAGCACAACTTTTCTTTGTTTCTAACGAAATTTTTCTGTTTCTTAATACTTTGGTTAGCTTTTGGAAGACATCTTTTTCTATTCTAATGCGTGTTCGGATTGCTGTTAAAACACTTCTGACATATTAATATTCTTCTGTATTTATAGATCACCTCTTGTCTTTTAATATTTTTGTACCATAACGAACAGTTGAAACAGTTTTAATAGCAACATATTATAACTACATGTATTTAGCTTAGTACGTGGAGCTGATTATGACCATTCTCAGCTATTTAGGTGTTATGCATAAGTGGGTAAATCAATATTCTTGATTTGTCGGTACAAAAAAAATCTCGAGGATTACCGATGAAGGTCGGGCATACACGAAAAATGATTCTCATGTATAAAACGCAGAGGGGATCCGTATAAATGGATGCAAGTTGCTTTGGCTGTCTCATTCTTCAAACTTAAAAATATTAATCCTCTCGACACCAGGCCACAAAGCTTCTGATTTAAATATTCCTTCTCCAGGTTTTAGGAACATTCGCCGTAAATATTTTTGCCGTAGGAAAACTCAACTCAGGAATTTCCGCCGTAGAAAACTTTGCCGTATCAGATTTTGCCATAAGACAATTTCACCGCATTTTTTTTTAATATGCGAAGTAACTTGTTATCAAGTATATATGGCTCACACTATTGTTACTTCGATTTAAACATTTTAATAAGCGAAGTTATAGAATGAAAATCCTACATCATTCATCCTCGTAAGTTAGAGCGCAAAAATTTCAACTTGACACCAGAATCTACGTCATGCAATTTCATATTTTAGACTTAACGTTAAACTTTCTTTTAACATATCAGTCTGAAAATAATTCTCACTTAAGCAATATATATTATTTGAAACAAACTTACAACTTGAATACGCAACCAACTTCAATATAAAATATCTGATCAAAGAAGGATGTTTGACCCTATAAAAAAGACATCCATATATAGTTAATAACAAGGTACTTCGCATATTGAACATTACTCTAAAAAAGAGGTTCAAGATAAGCTATCGAAAAAAAAAATGCGGCGAAATTGTCTTGCGGCAAAAATCCTATACGGCGAAGTTTCCTACGGTGAAAATTCCTGAGGCGAGTTCTGCTACGGCAAAAATATTTATGGGGAATGTTCCGGATACGCCTTCTCTAATGTGCATCACACAATCACCCCTTAAGTTATGCAGTACAATATTTTTATATATTGTAGACATATGTATTATGTCAAAATTGTGTCATACATCATCATCATCATCATCATCATCATCATCAGTTCCTATACTGCTTCAATCGTTGGTTGGACCTAAAGTCAGAAAATACAGCCAATCTTCTTTATATGTTGTCGGTGGCTCTCAGGAGTTTCGGCACTGTCATGTCCGTCCACTCTTTGATGTCTGACCAGGTTTTACGCTGCCGTCTCTGCTTGAAACAGTGCATTGCATGATGGTCTTGCAGAAGCTGTTATGCCGTGTGACGTGGCCAAACCATGACATCTTCCGACGCTAAAAAGAGATTTCTGTCAGCCAACGAGACTTTTCACCTTGCTCCGTGCATAGTCATTGGCTTTGTCCTCCCAGCAGGAGATCCAGAGGAGCTTTCTCAAGCATTTGTTCCCGAACGCCTGGATATCTTTTTCTGTCTTAACCAGGAGTGTCCAAGTCTCACACCCGTAGAGGAGGATGAATACGCCCAGCGATTTGTAGAGCTTGAACTTTGGAATCTGATGTTGTTCTTCCATATCTTTTCCAATCTGGTCATCGCTGCTGTGGCTGTGGCGATCCGAGTGCAGATTTCCGCGTTGCAAGCGCCATTTTTTGACGAGGTTACTTCTAAGTATTTGAAGCTGGACACTCCCTGTAGTGGTCTGCCGTCCATGGTGTCACTGTCACTAGTGTTATTTGTGCTAGTCACCATTATTTTGGATTTCTCTGTGTTGAGTTCCATTCCATATGTGACGGTTCTTTTAACGAGTTTATGGATCAATATCGTCTGCCAAACGCAGATAAAAGACAGGTCTACCACCGATAGGGATAGAAGTGTTGTGGTCGTGAAGAGTTTCCTGTATAATTATCTGCAGAAACAGGTTGAAAACTGTTGAAGAGAATAGACATCCATGTCTAACGCCGATAGGCATCTGGAAGAAATCTCCTACTTGGTCACTCACGAGAACTGCAGTGGTGATTGGGTCATAACACGGATGACTTTATATGAGCCCTTCTTCTATGTTTCATCCTCTGGGGACGTGTCAGAGATCATCATCATGCCATACCAAATCAAATGCTTTCTTGAAATCAATGAAATTGTGGAACAAGTCCCTCTGGTTTTGCAGATGCTTCTCAATGATGATCCTACGGTTGAAGATTTGTTCCGTTCAGCTCTAAAACCTACCTACAGTAATTCTTCAGTCTTGGATTTCAGACGGATAGGGATAATACGGAGAATAACCTTTCTGGGGTGGTTGATCAGGCTTATTGTTCATTGTTTGAGATTATCCATTAGTAGGGAGTATCACCAGTGACTGGATCTACTCTTTTGGCCACTTCTTCTGTTCACAAATCCTCTGGCATAGGGCTATTAGGGCATTGACAATTTCTTCACCTTTATTTTTCATCGGTTTAGAGGGTACATTATCCACTCCATGTGACTTGCCAAGTTTCAGGCTTCTCGCTGCTACGTCTACCAACTCCTCCATTATTGGCGGACTGTCTTTGTCTTCTTTGGGATGCTGCGGAGTACAATTAAATAAGCTAAATTTATTCCAAATGTAAAAAGCAAAGACTTCTTAAGCCGACTACAGTAGCAAACACAAACCAAAACTAAAAATCTTCGCTCCCACTGGAACGACAAGATCTGAGATACTCCCAGTTTGGTGCGTTTGTTGCACTATGCATTGACCTTAAATAAGAACGCCATAGCCATATTGTAAGTATTGTTACTGTCATTTAGAAACATTAGTTTAATCTGATACAGAACCATAGTATTACTGGATCCAGTGAGAATTGAACTATGGTCCCCGGGCTTACTAACAATGGCTCTGCGACATACGTCTTCTGTTATGAGTTACTTGATTTGACCTCCTTAAACCATTAATCTCCTTTACAGTTTGATTCATAATGTGTTATATTCTTCAACTAGAATATAACTCAAATAAATCCAAGTGAAACTCGTGTCTAGTGCGTTTAGCCCCTTCAAATTTAAACACTAATTTCATGGCTTAAAAAGTATCTTAAAAACTGCAATCGGCTTTCATTTATCGTAGCATTCATTTTCCTGCGGTATTCTTGTGAACAACATTCAGTTCATAATAAGTAATGTCACTTTGAATTCATCACTTTGGTTCCAAAGTAAAACCTCTTGGCCAGTTTTAACCACAAAGCCGAAAGCAGTTAATTTACAATGAGTGTATATATACACATGGTGACACGTCAGCTTCCCAGCTAAAAAGTGCGCTTAAAGTTGATAAGAAAATTAACTACGTGCAGAATTTTTATGAAAAAAAATCCCTTTGCGAAATAAAGTACAGTTGTTTTTTGTTTCTGTTTTTGTTTTTTGGGTTTTTTTAAAGCATTACAGCAATGATTTATATTTGAAAGGGAGCAAGCGCACATATATAGGCGCATGCGTACTGGCCTCTTGTTCCATTTTGCGCGCCTGCCATTCTTCTTCTCTTGTGCGTGCGCGTCCGCGCCGGTGTCTGACTGTGAACATGTTCGACATCACGTAGTCACTAGTAGTGACTCTTTGGCTCAAATGATCAAATGAAAGAGCGAATTAACAATATATTAATTAAACAATGACTTATCGCCTTTGTTTATTTTACCGTTGTATTTATTTTTACCATTCATAAGTCTAAGCAGGGTGATTTATTTATGTTGGTGAGAAAACATATAAAGTCGAGCGTGCGCTTCACGGCGGAAACAGTTACAGGGTCAAAAGTTAGTGTTCGAGCCCAGATACCAGCCAGGATTTCGAATGCTGATTTTGAAAACAAATAGGCCCTCATCGCTTGGCCCATTTGGCCTTTTGCCGTAGTAGCATATGATAAATAAGAACAATTTAAAATATAATCTGAATGAATAAATTCGTGTTTGGCAAATCTGATATAATTGATTATTATTATAGAATTGATTTTATCAAACTCAAGAATTGTGGATAACTTTTGGCAAAAATTCATCGTAATAATTTCTAAAAGACCATGAAAAACCTTATTCATAATTCAATTTTGCTTCTCCGAATCTGTGCCAATAACCATAACTCTAGATTACACCTTCAAAATGTTCTATAATAATAACTATTACAATTAATGTCTATACTTATACTCTAATATAAAACACCATGTAATTTGATATATTTAATTATGTCTACTTATTAATGAGGAAATCCGTTTCTATGACATTACCCATGGTCAATAAGCGAGCATGCCCCGTGTTACCATAACAACGGAATATCTGATCAGAATGTAATGAAAACAGATTCCTTTTATATTGTTTTCTATTTATTTTTCGTGTTAACTTTTTAGGCAATGTTTAGCCTTAGCGAGCGCATAAAAAATGGCGTGTGTTAAAAGGACGTTTTTTTTTTCTTTGACTCTGCTATTGTTTTAACTGCTTTCACTCCTCGGCAATGTTTGTTGTTTTTATAAAATGATGATTACAATCTTAATAAAACCTAAACATATACATACGAACCCAGAACAAATAGGGCCCAGTCTCCGCGACCACGGATAAGCTGGTGTTGGTACTTCGCCATTTCTCCTTCTTTAGTACAATGAGGGAGTTGCTGCTGCAGTGATGGATCCCAAGGATGAGTCATCTAGCAAAGCTTTTCTTTCTGTCAAGAAACATGGTAGGGAAGTGAAAAGTATATACTGCCCTTGGTAGTTTATCCGACCGAAGGCAGAACTACTCTTGAATTTTAAGTATTATCCTATTAACTGTCATATTGGACAAGCTCTATTTTATTTCCTCAAAATAATCATTCTGCGTCCAATGTGCGACATTGAAAACTCATAAGTTAATTTTATCCCCCGACGCTCACTACTGTAGCCATAATTCTACCTTGCACTGTCATTGCTGCCGAGATCGACTCCATAATAATATTATTGAGGAAAACGACATTATTAATATTCTTATTGATTGATAGGGCTACAATTATTATTATTAATATTATTATTATGGGTAACCTGTATGTTGATGTCACCTGGGATACTGTTAGTAAAATTGACCATTCCTTTTCTCATGAGGCCCAGTGCTCCGATTACTATTAGTACAGTCTCAGTCTTCATTCCCCACATCCTGTTAATCTCGATCTCCAGGTCCTTGTATTTGGAAAATTTCTCGAGGATTTTCATGGACGTGTTTCTCTCAGATGGTACTGCTATGTCAATAAGCATACACTTCCTGAATTTCTAGTTTTTATGATAATATCAGGTCTGTTGGCTTTTATTTCCCTGTCAGTTTGAATTGGCATGTCCCAGAGGATAGTTACATCGTTATTTTGGGTAACTGGGTCTGGTTGGTACTCATACCATCTCTCAGTTGTTTGCATATCTTGCATATCTTCCAGTGCACATATGTCGCTAATTTGTCATGTCTGTGGGTATATTCATTTTTTCATTTTCTGCAAGTTCCTTATTATTATTATTATTATTATTATTATTGTGTGTTTGCCTTTCCTTTGTGGAGTACGAATTGCTCCCAAGTCTCAATCAGTGACTTCAAGAGACAACATGTTATTTTCCATCAGAAGATGCAAACAGGTCAGGGGCAATGCAGTCAGAAAAAAATGTAATTGTGGTCATTACAGGTAGAGAAATATAAGCAAGATGTGAGAAGTACCAATGAGTATGACTTTTTACAATTCATATATATTAGGACAACTACGAATTTGACCCACATATCTGACGTGGAAATCACAAAAATTGACATCATAAAAGATACGGGTACGTACACATAAACACAAACACACACAATAATAAAAGGTAATTGCAAGATGAGATGATATTATTATTATTATTATTATTATTATTATTATTATTATTATTTCTTGTGATTTCTGCTTGATACCATTTCCTTCTGAGTCCCAACCATAGACCGAAGGTTAGAAATGGCATCGTGACATTTTCTACTTCACATTTGTGAGCTGTGCTTGTGAAAATTATTCTTGTGTATTAAGACATTAAGATTTATTTTGTATCCACCGTTATTACCGTTTAGTTCATGCGAAATTTGGATTAGGGATGCACAAGAAAGAATTGTTGACAGCGAGTCTCTTTGAATAATTCAGGTTGATCATACTGTTACAATGTCTGTTGGGGCTTCTGCCGCTTCTCGTCTCTCCAGTGCAGTTTGAGTATGTAGGTATGGAGGACCGACATTTAACCATACAGAAGACCCTCCCCTTCTGCTCTCTGTCACCTATATGATCCAACGGAAAAGTAATACCGATAACCATGGTCCCGATGCTGTCGCCATAACGTTGTTGAATATAGATTCCAACTGCCATAGTGGCATTTTTCGTCGGGGTTGACACCCAGTACCCCTCATGGGAAATATAGGTTTCAGATTCAATTCTTCCTGACCTACCTGCTTTAAACATTATATGCGTAACAGCACTAAATACATTTACCAGAATATACTTTGTTGAAATGGAGGCGTCTCATTACTAGATTGACTACTATGCCTAATCGTTTTACTGTTGAATTAGTTAGACGTAAACGTAAGTTCTATTCTAATAGATTCTTTTCTCGCACTCCTCACCTGTGGAACTCTTCCGATTTCTTGCTTTAATGCCATCTACAATCCTCAAAACTTTAAATGCAACATCAATCACCATATTCTGTCTTCCTGAATCCTGTTCTTTCATTGCCTTTTCACCTCACTAAAAGTTTTCTTATTCTCTTACACCCCCAATAACCCGTTGCGTCTTAGTGATATTATCGCTTTCTTTGAGGTGAAATGAATACACATATACGAGGTCTGATCAAAAATATCGGGACTGTTTCTATGATAATGGAGCTAAAGTACACAGAGGGAAGCCACTTGGCACAGGCTGTCATTGGACACTGTCAAACATGCACACTAAGTTATAACATTGTCGCACACATCTGTTGTTTATAGCAGTGCTTGGAAGGAAAGTATGTAGAGAGTTGTCGTCTCATCACACCAGAGTTCCATCAGTGACCATGGTTTGTGCAGCAGTTTTCGGCCATGAACAACATTCCCCAGGTTCGTCAACCGCCGTATTCTCCATATCTTGCTCCTTGTGACTTTTTCCACTTTGCAAAAATCAAAGAGAATACGACCAAGTGGCTGCTCGCTATCCTCAAAAAAGGATTTCCAGTAATGGTTCCATCTATGAAAACAACACTGGATAAAATGTGTGGCTTCAGAAGAGGACTACTTCGAAGGAAATTAAATGCCGAATTAATATGCATTGTAGTTTTCTTTTCATAGCATCAGTCCCGACATTCGTGTATGTTTGTGTGTGTGTGTGTGTGTGTGTGCGTGTGTGTGTGTGTGTGTAAAAGTTTCAGACAGAGTATATCTGTAAAAGGACAATATGATAAAATACAAAAAGAGGAACTTATCTTAGCCGATGAGTTTCGTTCTTAGAGGAACTTTATCAAAAGCAAATAAAGTCCCCCAGAAGACGAAACATTTCGACGAAGATAAGTTTTTTTTTCTTTTTTTCACACACACACACACACACACATATATATATATATATATATATATATATATATATATATATATATATATATATATATAGGCATGGGCATGATAAAAAAGATACCTACAAGTACATATACTTGCACGTGCGTATAAATATATTTTCTTCCTCGGTGTTATAAATACAGTGCTCAATACTATGAGACAGAGCTATAAGTATATATAAGTGAATATGCATAATATCCATAAAGACCTAAAGATTCCAAGAACTCCATGAAACTCTGACTCGTTGTATCGATGTTAGATATTATGTATATTAACTAATGTGTGTGTGTGTGTGTGTGTGTGTGTGTGTGTGTGTGTGTGTGTGTGTGTGTGTGTGTGTGTGTGTGTGTGTGTGTTTGTCCGCGTCTTTTATAGTGTCAAATACGGCACACAAGAATATCTTTAGAATGAAAGTTTAAAGTGACTACACATGATACTGATTGATCTTTGGGACGAAGAGATAAAATTTCCTTATTTGTTGAACAGAGAAAGAGAGAGGGGAGAGAGGGACAGAGAGAGAGAGAAACTGAGGCCACATACTTTCGTAACAACTTTTATTGTGACAGGTTGTTAGGTATCATTTAGGAGCTATGTAAATGAACAGTGACATAAATTGGTGCTAAAAGAGTTAGGCAAGGTTGATTAATTTACTGACATCTTGGGATATTTAATGTCTTACGGGATAAAGATCACAAATGAATTAATGAATAGGTAGTTATATATCCAGTTTACACAAGAGTCGAAAAGATAAACCTCTTCTTGTATGTGCTGCATCCCTTCAGGACATACATAATCATGCCTCTCCACATCTTCCTATCATTTGTAGCTCTCAGCAATGTTTGTCTTAAAGTCTTAATACACAAGAATAATTTTCACAAGCACTGCTCACAAATGTGAAGTGGAAAATGTCACAATACCATTTCTAACCTTCAGTCTATATTTGGGACTCAAAATGAAATGGTAACAAGCAGAAATCCCAAATAATAATAATAA